GTTACCATCACACAACTGTTGTCTCTTACCATCTGTTACCATCACACACCTGTTCTCTGTTACCATCTGTTACCATCACACATCTGTTGTCTCTCACCATCTGTTACCATCACACATCTGTTGTCTCTTACCATCTGTTACCATCACACACCTGTTCTCTGTTACCATTTGTTACCATCACACATCTGTTGTCTCTTACCATCTGTTACATCACACACCTGTTCTCTGTTACCATCTGTTACCATCACACATCTGTTGTCTCTTACCATCTGTTACCATCACACATCTGTTGTCTCTTACCATCTGTTACCATCACACACCTGTTCTCTGTTACCATCTGTTACCATCACACAATTGTTGTCTCTTACTATCTGTTACCATCACACAATTGTTGTCTCTTACTATCTGTTACCATCACACATCTGTTGTTTCTTACCATCTGTTACCATCACACAACTCTTGTCTCTTACCATCTGTTACCATCACACATCTGTTGTCTGTTACCATCTGTTACCATCACACAACTCTCGTCTCTTACCATCTGTTATCATCACACAACTCTTGTCTCTTACCATCTGTTACCATCACACAACTCTCGTCTCTTACCATCTGTTACCATCACACATCTGTTGTCTGTTACCATCTGTTACCATCACACAACTCTCGTCTCTTACCATCTGTTACCATCACACACCTGTTGTCTGTTACCATCTGTTACCATCACACACCAGTTGTCTGTTACCATCACACATCTGTTGTCTCTTAGCATCTGTTACCATCAGACACCTGTTCTCTGTTACCATCTGTTACCATCACACACCTGTTGTCTGTTACCATTGTTACCATTTTCCATTTTGGGTTTTAATGTTGTATGCTGCTATAAACCACTGATTTGCTGTCTGAGACGTCCCATCTGAGTTGGGTCTGCTCTGGTGGCTCAGCAGTACTGAACCTTCACTCCATGTTCCAACAGAGAGGACCAGCAGGTAAAGGCTTTTTGTCTTCAACAGCCCAATCAAAGTTGAGACCGACACCTAAACTCAGCCTTCCTGTTGACCCCCCTCATCGTCTGACGACACAGTAAAGGTGAACTCCTTTTCTATCAGGTGTCAGCTGGTTCTAAAAGTCTGCAGCTTCACACGAGCTCACTAAAACATCACTTAGAGTAACTCTGTTAAAACTTCTTATAATCCTTCTTCCTTCTTACACTCTTATGTTTACACCTGTTTCTTGTCCTCTCCTCCTGATCACAAAGTTAAATATTCACACAACACCTCACACATAGACAAACTGCACACATAAACACACAACACAATCTGGGATTAGATTTTTAAACTTAACTTAAGCTGGTTTATCTGATTTGCTGAGAAGTAAACATTAACTTGTCTCAGTTGTTGATTGTTTAAATTTGAGCGAATCACCTGCTAATCACAAACAAAGACTAATCCAGTACTTGTAACTTGTCTTTTAATTTATTTTTAAATAAAACACAGAGCACGGTGTGTCGATGATAAAACTTAATTAACGACTTGTCCTTTTTCTGTTGTTTTGAAGGTTTTTCTCCTGATTTGATCATGTCTGAACTACAAAGGTTAATTCTTGATAACAAAATAATTTGCTAGCCCAGGTGTTTTCCTACACTGTTGGTGTTTTTCTTCTGAACCTCACATCTCAGTTTCTGACTCAGAATCTTCTTTTGGGGTTTTTTTCCCACTGGTTTCCCCTGCATATGCGGTTGATTTAAAAGTCATCTTATTTTTATTATTTCATCTCTCTAACGGAAACCAAAGTGGAACCAAAACCAAAAACCTTTTGCCTGCAGAAGATCTAACCGTCTGCAGCGAGGGCTTCTTTCCTGTAAACACACTCAGACCACCTACCTTTGGTCAAACTGTGGAATATAGCTACATCAAGCTGTGGAATATATATATATATATATATATATATATACAGTTCTGTTTGATTCCAAGCAATAAAAAACATTTATACTGATGTGGGGCTTTTCGTAGAGCAGGCCCACACCATGATGTCACCTCTGCTGTTCATTCTCACAAGCATCAGAAAAACCAACCTGAAGCCAGACAGAGAAAAACAAAACAAAACAGGAAATACCCTTACCAATAGGTTTCACACAGTCTGCAGGCAGAGTAAAGTATCTGTACGTTTTTAAAAATGTATAAATACAAAGTAATTCTATTTAGTTTGAACAACACAGAGAGGAAATAGTAACATAAATGAAAACATAAATATACAGGCAAATCTGTCTGTTTTAGACCAAAAAAATCAAATAAAACAAATTATCTTTCTTTTAAAAAGTATTTTTAAGTATATTTATGTGAAATAAACTAATCTAATTTTTACATATTTTCCACCAGTCAGCGGCAGTAACGAGTCTGAAACTATCAAAGAAGAAAAGAACTTCATTACCCATACACCACAGCGTCAATGTCTGACGTCATTACGCTCAGATCGGAAAAATTCAACATGGATGAAGCCGTACTTGTGGAAAAGAGCCCGGTAAGATTGGTGTTTAACAGTCTTATTTGGTGTATTTTTGTAGTAGCTGTTGTTCAGTGACTTCAGTAACACCACGGTTTTATGTTCTGATATCAATACATGTTTTATTTCTGTATTTTACTTGTTTTTAGCTCGATAAGGCGTCAGAAACGTAAACCTGCTAATTCATTCTCCGCTCTGTCCTGTTGCTAGCTAAGAGTGTTAGCATCGAGCGTTAGCATCGAGCCCGTAGGGATGAATAAAAAACGATTTGTTTCAAGTGATGGATGAGTTTATAGTTAAAACGTTTCTGAACGTTTAAGTTAATTATCCATAATCTGGTGTTTTGTTATGTTGACATTATTATGATGGTTAAAAGTAGTTTTCTGTTGTCTTATCGGGATGCTAAAATTAGCAACCAGCAAACCAGCGGAATGTCACTGTGTTTTTGTCTAATATTGGAAAACGTCGAGTGTAAATGTTTTACGATTGTATTATACAATAAATAACTGTGGGTTTTACACGTTCTTTTGTAAAGTCAAAATTCGGCATTTTGTCTTATCAATAATTAAGACAAAAATACAGAAAATTTAAAGTTTCATAGTATTATTATGATAAAGAGATAAAATAAATAAAAATAACCTCTAGTTTGGGTTATTGTTTTTTGACCAGGCTGCATATAAATGCATTTAGTAACGCTTACATTAAAAAAATTGTAATTAAGTGTCATCAATAATGTCTGTAAAGTTTTTATAACTCACCAAGAGTTCATATTTGTTCTTGTTTTCAGTGATGTTTAACATAATAAGTCTATATTTGTTTGTCAACTTGACAGGAAGAAATGCCGTCAGTCCTGACCTCTAGACCTCAAACGGGTCTGTCCTTCCTGGCACCAGAACCTGAAGATCTGGAGGACCTTTACACCAGATATAAGGTCTTAACAAATGCAGTCAGTTATAATCTGCAGTGTAATAAAGCAAAAGTCCAAATCAACATTTATGTTTCAAACATCTGCTCAGTAAACCTAACTGACTCACAATCAGCACTGGAAACACAAAGTATCAGTTCTTTAATCTTGAAGTATTAAATCTTGAATTGTGTCAAACAGAAATAAATACATCCCTCATGAGAGTAAAATGTTAATTTATTTTTTGAAACGACATCAACTTAAAGAAAATCTCTGTCCTCCAAAGTAAAGACTTTTTTGTTGTTGTTGTAAGTTTTACACAACAAAGCAGACCAGCTTCAATCAAATAAATCCCATAAAAATAAATGATTAAAAGTCTTGTTGTCAGTCTGTCTGACCCGGTTGGGTTGGATCTTCAGGTTCTCACTCTTCTTCACTGCATGTTTGCAGAAGCTGCAGCAGGAGCTGGAGTTCCTGGAGGTGCAGGAGGAGTACATCAAAGATGAACAGAAGAACCTGAAGAAAGAGTTCCTGCACGCCCAGGAGGAGGTGAAGAGGATACAGAGCATCCCGCTGGTCATCGGACAGTTCCTGGAGGCCGTGGACCAGAACACGGCTATAGTTGGCTCCACCACAGGTAACCCACCCCTCACCTGCAGCCTCTCTGAAATCTGAAGACCGTGAAATCAAACAGATGGTGCCCTTTGAAAGAGTTTTCCACATGTTCTGACACCAGTGTAAGCAAAACACTGAGCTGAATCCAAGCATGAAGCTCGATCACGTGATCGACCCACATCAGTCAGACAAGAGAGTCTGAACAAAGATGTCAGGTAGAAAAATCAGAGGATCTGCTGTTAAATGTTAACTAAAGAGAGAACCAGCTGCCAGAAATACATCTCTGGAATCAAGCAGGACGGAGTGACACACCTCTGCCTGACAGGAAACTGTTTCATCTTTAAATCTAAGTATAAATACACACTGAAACTGTCACTTCAGCTTTTTCTGCAGGTAAACAAACACCTGGTGGTTAGTTACCTGTCTAACATGGGTTTTTGATCTGTGGCAGGAAAACTACTTGTTCAGACAGAACGAGGAGAAACTTATTTACTGTAGTTACCTCTACCAAGGGCGAGGTAATGTTTTCGGTCGCGTATGTCTGTCTGTCTGTCTGTGGACAACATTACTCAAAAACTTGTGGACAGATTGTCATGACATTTTTACCACATGTGKGTACTGGGCCAAGGAACACACCTTTAAATTTAGGTGATGTTCTGGATCACGATGTGGATACAGGAGTTTTTTTTTCTTTTAACACTCTGAGATCGGCAAAGC